CAATAATAGAACAAAAGGAGAGGAAATTTTTCATAGCAGAAATATAACATAGGGTTTCAACTTCTTCCCTGCTTAAGTGAAATAGGTTCATGCAGGGAGAACTGGGTGTGGAGCTGTAGCCCCTGGGGCATGCTCACTTTTAAAACAATTTAACACAAAGCCCAGAGTGGATGCATTGAGAACCTGGGACTAGGATGGAAATTACAAGGGGCCTTCAGTCTGAAATGAAGAAAAGCATGTTCATTTGGCTTTAAATAAGGCTATAGACTGAGTTCAAAATTCAATGTTAGTCTAGAGATGAGGCAAGCATAGCAATAGGTAGAGTGTTGTTCTTGTCTTTCATTTGTGTTTGAGACCAAGTTAATAAATTTTGAAATTCTGACCTTTAAAATATCCCTACTCAGAACCTGCACAAATCTACCACTGTTTACCATGTTGATTTTTTTTTTAAAAAAACATCTCTTTTTGAGTGTCATGTGGTGTCATTTAGGTATGTCTCAAGGCTCCATGCTTGAAGTTCTCTGTATTAGAGTGTTTGTTCTGTGTCCTTTATTTACATAGAAATCTTAATATTTCATTCATATTTTCAAATAAATTTCTATTCTCACACCGCTGTTTGCATTAGAAAATGAGAAATTTAAAAGCAAAAGAGCAAAACTGTGTTTATGCTCCTGTAGAATCCTTTGAACACACTTACGGTAGCTGCCTTTGAGATGTTAATTTCTAATTGTGTAGTATCAATGTCTGTGTTTGGATTCTGATTTCCTATGGAAGTTGACCTAAGAACTTCTCTTTTTATGTTTCCTGCACATGCTAGCTGCCTTTCTTCTCCACTGTGTAGATCCTATGACTTATGGGTTGAAAATGTATATAACAGTCTTTGTAGGCAAACATGGTAAACATTTATAACTACAGGAAAATGGAGAAACTGGCTGTGTGAGAGTTCCAGTTTGTTCGTATATGTTCTGGCTGTATGTTGTGTCATGTGTCAGTCGGTTAACATTTAGTAGTAGAATTAGTTATTATTCAAACTTAGCTCTTCATATTGACTCATTGTATGCATTTGTATATAACATATTATTACTAATTTTTACTGTTAAAGGTGTTATATTTTAGTAAATTTGTTTGACTAGATTCCTGAAAGTTACAAGGATTTTTGATGATGTCAGTTGTACTTTGAGACATCCATTTATAAGATACAATTCAGTTGTCCTCCTCCCCCCATGTATATAGGGAAATAAAATAATTGCTGAAGAATATGCCAGTTTGCATATTGAAATCTGATTTCATAATCACAGTGATCATGACATTATTCAATCCAAGCAAAAGATTTTTGAGAACATGTTACATTTTGCATGCAGTATCCAGATGATCTGGAATACCTTCCACAAAAACTGAGGTGTTCAACCCAGTAGACACTGCTTCTCCAGTGTTATAGAAAGATTAAAATTTGAAATAATGCCATGATCACCAGTAGAAGATCAAAACCAGTTCTGTATTTTTACAGAGCAAATCTTTGATATAAATATGAGGGGGGGTTATGTCTTAAAATACCATTATAGGGGAACTGTAATATCCCTTCATCATTGATCATTAAGGCTTAATGGGTCATGGGAAGAATTCATTTTCTTCTCTGAGAGAACTGGGACCTTTTTGTGCAATGAATACTTACAACAGAGCTCAGTAGGATTAAGTCCTCTGAATTAGCAACCTTCTTCTACCTCTCACCAGAAGGGCACAGGGAGAATCATTTTGTATGAGTGCTGTACAAGTGTGGGCTGGCAAATTAAAGAGTGAGGCTAACCCCAGGAAGCAGAGTGAGGTGTTTGTGGCCTCTATGGTTTCATGCTTGGTTCACTGTTATTTTCGTTTCTGTGGAAACAGGGGTGAGCAGGGCTTGAGGGGGTGATAAAAAAAAAACTTGGCTGGGATGTAAAACATGGTAGTATAAATGGAGAAGAATTCTATACCAGACCCCTCACCTTTCCCACCGCTCTTCTGTAGTAGACCCAAGTGAAGGAAAGGGCATATCCTTTTTGATTAATTTTCCGTCTTTAGAGGAACTGAATTGAATTTCAGAATACTTTTAAATTGTTAAGCCTGAAGAATAATGAAGAATATGCTGCAAACCATGCAAAGGCACAAATGCATGTCTGCCTATAGCTAAGTGCAAGAATACATTGTGATGTAGCCACTTGAAGGAACACTGCTCAGTTATAAAAAGGACGAGGCCGTGAATGTATGTGACGGCATGATGAACTGTGAGATCATTACACACCATGACCTCATGTTCTGTAATACCATTTATATGAACTTAGGGAAAGGATAAAACTTGAGGGAGAGGAACACTTTCTTGGCATGCACAAGCCTCTCTATCCCGTGTACCACAAAGAATTAAAATACAGTGACAGAAAGTAGGCCTGCTGTTTCTGGGCCTCACATTTAATATTGGTGACTTTTTATATGCAAGTAAGGCCTAAGAATGGATTTTAAAAAACGGCACAATAAAACTGAACAGTAAGTGGGAGGAGGGGACCTTGTAACTCATTAATACTTGGAAGTGAACATAAAAATCATTAGAACAAGTCAGACAGTAGTGGCACACACCTTTAATCCCAACACTAGGGAGACAAAGACAGGCAGATCTCTGTGAGTTTGAGGCCAGCCTTGTCAACAGAGTGAGTTTCAGGAAGGCTTCAAAGCTACAGAGAAACCCTTCCTCAAAAAATCAAAATAAGCAAACAAACAAACTAAAATAAAATTCATTGGAACAGCCTAGGTTACCCTGGTGTTGGAAGTTTTTCTGTACATGTGTTTCTTTTACTGGTTAATAAAAAAGTTGCTTTGGCCAATAGTTTAACAAAATATAACCAGAATGTAATAGATAGTTAGATAGATAGATAGATAGATAGATAGATAGATAGATAGATAGATAGATAGATAGAGAGTAGGCAGAGTCAGGAAGAAGTCATGTAGCTGCCATAGGAGACAGATGCCTCCGCCTCCTCCAGAGCCCACTAAAGTTTTGCCGGTAGGCCACAACCTTGTTGTGATACACAGATTAATGGAGATGGGTTAGTTTAGGATATAAGAGCTAGCTAGCAAAATGTTTAAGCTATTGGCTAAACAGTATTGCAAATAATATAGTGATTATTTCATGGTTTGGACAGCCGGGAATGAACTAACCACTCCCCCCCAACATTAACCCCAGAATCTGGGCAGAAGAAGTGTCATATGGCTTATTTTGTTTGTTTCTTTGAGACACAGTTTCACAATGCAGCAGCACTGACTGACCTCAAAGCTTTCATCCTTCTGCCTCAGTCTCCAGAGTCATGCCCATTAAAGGTGTACACCCCATTTCCCACTGGAATTAACAAATTGGGGATGGAAGAAGACAGATTTGATATGTCCATGAGTTCTTTTGATGGCTGTAACTGCTGAGTAAGAATGAAGTTGAGGGGCCACACCTGGATGATATTTAGTAACCACCAAGTGCTATTTGCAATGGACATTACAAATGGTAGATTAGACCAGCAACTGTGACAGGAGAATGAAAGAGTCAGAGACCTGGAGCTTTCTCTTACCTCCCAGAAGATGGATAGTGCCAGCTAACTGGATCCAGTCATTTAAAATTCACCAAAATTCTGAATAGGAAAAGTAGAGAATTGTAATATGTAACGCACTGGATATTAGGAAGATGTTGGACATATTCTTCCCTCGTACCGTGCCAGGTCATTTTTAAGCCATCTCATGAAGTCTTTAGTGAGGCCTCTGAAAACGGGTTCAGGATTTCTAGCCAAATGTAGTAGTGCCCATGTATCATCCCAGCTTGTAGGTAGCTGATCCAAAAAGGTTATGAGTTTGAGACCAACATTGAGTTCAAGGCCCACCTGGGTTATACAGGGAGACAAAAAAAGGAATAATGACAGCAAAGCAGAAAAGAATTCCTGAGTATGGGAATGTTCAGTAACATTAGGGACTTATGGATATCTGTGTGTACATGGACATAATATTGAAAAACTTTAAATGACCATGCGACGATGCCAACAATGTTTATCAAAGTATGAGGCTCATGCTAACTTTCCGCTTTCACACCCTCTATAATGTAGCTATCTATGCTTATCGGTTTCTTTGAGCACACAAAATGATGTTAAGTAATTTTTATGAGTCACCATAGTTGAACCTCATCCCAACCGTAGAAGTTAGACACAAGTGACTCATCCAATGGTGACAGTGCAGACCAAAGTGTTGACTGATACTAATTGGTGGGATATTGGCACATGGCCCCTGGGACACTGCTTGGTAAAGGAATACTACTACATTTCACAGGGTTGGACTGGTGACAGTGACCTTGAAGTTTCTCACCCTGTTCTGAACTGGGATGGAGATAACCGAAATTTTGCCAGGAATCTTTGTGTCCACCCATGTAACTCCACAGAAGATCGAAATGTAGCTTGTCGGTGGTGATCAAAAGTGGATTGCCAAATGAGCTAACTTTTAGTTCTCTGTGTCCTTTTCCTGCTAAATTTGAAGGAATGTACATTTTGGGTCTGTATGATACAAAACACAGACTAGCATTGGGTAGTAGTGCGTAATTAATAGTCATACTTGACTATGTTGCTTGAAGTTCAGATTTCCACAATGATATAAACACATTTCAATGTTAGACTGCACAAACTAGTAAGAGCTTGAGTCTCCATAATTCTATAATTATACATGAGTATTATCAGACTATGGCAATTGTTGCTCCTAAATGAGGAAAGCACTTAGTGTGCAGACACTAATGGGGACATCTTTCATCTTCTTATTACACTATGCTTTGGACTTATTGTTATCTATTTTCTGAGAGAGTAGGAGTGCCTTTTCTTAGCCTAAAATCATTCTTTACAACATAAGCAGTAGACAGGAGCCGTGAAGATTTAATGAAACAAGCAACATTCAGTGAAACTGACAGCCTTTATTTCTCTCTGTTGTGTGTGTTGTGTTCTCTCTCTTTACAGATGGACCCTATTCAGAAAGCCGTAATAAACCATACATTCGGGGTTCCTCTTCCTCATCGGAGAAAGCAAATCATCTCATGCAACATTTGCCAGTTGAGATTTAATTCAGATGTGAGTGGTAACTTTTTCAATAACAAAATGTATTATATGGTTTCAGTTTTCAGGTTTCTTTTTTTTCCAGCAACTGAGCATGCCCAAATCCAAAGACAGCATGCAAGTCCGAATGTTCTTTAATTTGGAGTTTACCATTTTACATTATATTATTTACTATAAAAACGCATGTATATCTAGATATACTTAATGTTTTATTCTTTATTTTGCTTTTAGTATCTTGAGAATACTTAATGTATATCATATGCTTTGTTTTTGGAGATTAGCAAATTCAGAACCAGTGAAGATTTTAATAGCTTACATCTCTGAAGTAAGACAGATCATTCTCTAAGACCAAGACTTTTCCTTCAACTGTGTCTGCTAACTATCGACAGACTCCCAGTTCCAAATTAGTGCCTTGGGAAGTAAGTGTTGTGTGTATTTGTGTGTGTGTGCACATGTGCACACACACACACACACCCATGTACTCTCCAAAGTGCAAATGAACAGTAAGCTCCAAAGTCCTCAATTTCTAAAACACAAGTAGAACAAAATTTCCATGGGGAATAACATAGAAAGGAGATGTCTGGGGACTTGGCCAATGGTTTGAAAGTGCTGGGGAGGCTTTACACACTGTTTACAGTTCTCGTGAAGCGGAAGGTAGATTGTAGATCCATCCCAGTGATTCCAATGTTTACTTGTAACTAATATGAAAATGTTTGTGACATTTTCTCAACCCTTAAGTCTGCCTTGGTGACGAATTAGTCCTGAGAGGCACAGAAGAAAGAATTGTGTACCTTGATGCAACAGGAATTGGACACCCAGTGCTCAGTCTGTGAGCAAATGGAAGGCCCTTGCTTGCTATCTGAATGGACCCCCATCCTGGTCTGTCATTTCCTGTGCAAAGTTTCCAGTCTGTGTGGAGAATGTCATCTGTTGAGAACACCATAGGGTGACAAACACAGAAAATGCATGGGGCCTAGATGGATGACTCATTTTTTTCTGTAACAGAACAGTTCATTTTATGTGAGGATTTCTCAGGCCATGGAACTAACATCTTAGGTTGCAGGTTTTTTTTTTTTTTTTTTTTTTTTTCGAGACAGGGTTTCTCTGTGGCTTTGGAGCCTGTCCTGGAACTAGCTCTATAGACCAGGCTGGTCTCGAACTCACAGAGATCCGCCTGCCTCTGCCTCCCGAGTGCTGGGATTAAAGGTGTGCGCTACCATCACCCGGCCTTAGGTTGCAGTTTAAACAGTCCTTCCGCTGACTTGAAATAAGAGTGCTTTCCTCATCCTGTCTCATTGCATTTGAATTTTATAGACTTCCCCTAGTGCACTTGAGTAGTTTGTAATCAGTAGAAGAAACTTACTAGTTCTAGAGGTGGGAAGACTAAGCCTCAACTGCTGGCAATTTCAGAGTCTGGCAGAGAGCTACTGCCTGTTTTAGAGGTGATACATTCTCACTAGGCTTTGACAAACCAGACTGATGAAGCAGCTCCATGGAACACCAGTTTCTGCCCTCATGGTCTGATCGCATTAACAATGGCCGCAACCCCTACTGGTTTACCTCATGGGTTAGGATTTCAACATGAGAGTTTGACTGGAGCAGAAACCCCAAGCCACAGCACCACTTGAATGGTTCTAATAGTATATTAGCTGGTTAAATGTGCCTTACCCTCTCTGAGGAGTGGATGGGGTGGTGAGTGGGAGGAATGGGAGGAGGGGACGGAGTGGGAACTTGGATTAGATATGTATAATGAAAAAAGGTAGTTTGATTTCTTTTTAAAAAAGAAAAAGAAGAAGAAAAAAATGAGACACTAAGCATCTGTGATATCTTTGGACAGGATAGTTTTAGTACTTTTAAAATTTATTTGTTTTTAGAAGCTGAGCATCTTCATTTGGCTGGTACATAAGTTTATCATAGACTTTCTGAATTCATGAAAAATACCATATTATAAAGCAATGATTTCTCTCAGTCATTATAAAAATGTAGCATCTTTCTAACATGTAAATAAAAGTGGTAAATTAATTTCTTTCTGAGTTAACATTATTTTTATTTAAAATTTCATTTATGTGTTCAACTTATACTTTTTGGATCAAATTATAAATTCCTAAAAGATTAAATAAGGTAAAAGTTATTTGTTCCATGACATGCTTTTGTTTCAAAAGTAGTAATTATACTTCCTAAGACTCAAGAGCAGTGTTGTAAACTGTGAGCTCATTTCAGAACACTGGATAAATGAAAACCATTTCTGTCACCATTATTCAACATTGCTTTTGCCTAGTTTTTGTTTCCTTTAAATTGAATTGAAATTTTACTTTTAAAATTACCAGATAAAGATGACAAGACTCCCCTAAACCAAGTTGCCAGCTTTTCACACATGATGAGACCATTTTATTTACTACTTCCATCTTGCAACAATCCACTACCAATATTTTCTACTCTATTTAAGAGCAATTGTGTGTATTAGGAGTCAGAAGGATGTTTCAGTATCTAGATCTAGCATCCACTGGGTGCAAGAATTCTTCTTGCCATATCAGACGAGGACTTTGGATTGATCATTCCCAGTAATGAGTCTTTCAGCATTTCCAGGTGGTGGTTCCAATTTGGGAGAGTGTTTCTTTTCTTTTCTTTTCTTTCTTTTCCTTTTTAATTTTTTTTTTAAAAAAGAGAAAAGAAACAAGCTTTTTTTCATTTCACATACCAATCCCAGTTTCCACTCCCTCCCTTCTCCCATTTCCTCCACCTTCTCCCCAACGCCACCCCTGATCCACTCCCCAGAGAGGATAAGGAACATTGCTCTAAGGTGGTATTCAAACCATGCTTAAGAACTAGAAATGGCATCCAATAAACTTTTAAAGACCTTTACATTCACAGATGCCATTATTATCATTAATTTGTAGAAGGTAATACAAGAATTTTTACCATGTTTCTTTTCTCCAATACGATCTCATTTTTTTATTAAAAGACAATATCCATTTATTTTCCTAATAGTGTTTCTAGGTGGCATAGGGTCTCCATGTATGTTTATCAGGGATAACTGGCTACTGTTTTCACAATTTTGCTGCATGTCATGTGATCAAAGGAATTTAGACAAGCTACTGTGGTATTTAGGCTTACAGATCTTGGTCATAATTAACCACTTAAGGCTTGACCATGACAAGAGAGAATGGTACTAGTTGTCTATTTGCACCGCCCTTGTAAAGAACACAATATATCGCCTCATTTTTCTGGTGGCAAGAAGAGTAACATAGGTCTCTCTGGGTGTTATCGGGTTATTAAAAGGATTTTGTTGCTCTTGGGGGCTTCGAAGAAGACAGCTCTGTCTGGGTTCCAGCTCATAGAGACTTGTGAGCCTCCCCATTTCTCTAGATAACAGAAGGCTGTTTAGTTCCTCACTCAGTTGTTTTAACACTTCTCTCTGACTCCTGCACAGCAACAGATCATACTGGACCAATCTAATAATCTAGGATAATTGCATCACTTTTAATCCAACTGACTTGCAACTTTAATTGAATCTGCTAATCTAACTTTACTTTTCCATGGCATATATCTCATGTTAGGTTTTGAAGGGGAGAGATATTAGCCTTCTTTCAGAGGTGGCTCTTTACTGTGGATGCTTTCTGAGGAAGTCTGACCATTGCTCCAACTGTGTATCATGGACATTAACTTATAAGCCATGAAATTATAAAACACAGAGTTCATTTGCTCTGTATTTTATGTTACTAAACATTCATTACTCTTACATTTCCATTTATATTTAATGTTTGATATAAATTCAACATATAAGATTAATCTTTCAATGACTATTATATTTGTTTAGTTACACACATATGTTCATGAGAATGCATGTGAAACTCGGAATCAATTTTTCCTTTCAACATGTGTGTCCCAAGGATCCTACTGATGTCCTCAGTCTTAGCATGGGAAGCAATGTGATTGTGTGTTTACTGACCTGCAATATCTAAAGTACTAATTTTATAAACTGTTTAGATGCTGAATATCAATTAGATTTATCAATTAATAATGCCATAATGATACAACCCCTATATATAGATCAACATACATGTATATGATATCATAATATTTAACCCCAAGGAAGCCCTTCCTAACCCCAAACCTCTGGCCATTTGTTCTTTCCAGGTAATCTGGATTTTATTTCTTGTTTCTGATTTTAAGCCTAGGATGTTCTGGAGCAACATCGTAATTCACGTGTATGTGTGATTGAATTTTCATTCACTAGGAAAGTGTTTTTGCCAGAGGAACCTTTTTACATTTCAAAGCTTCTTTTCTTTCCAGGGAAAATAATAGCTTACAATTCTTTTCATCTCTGGATCATGAAAATTCAATTTCCTTTCCATCACTAAGCTTTTATTTATTTTTTAACCCTTCATATTAAAAGCTATGCAGTTTGATGTTGTACATACCTGTTTCCTATATGCTACAACTTCCAGTTAGGTTCCTGCAGACAGGTTTTAAAATGTCATAAATTTTATTCCATTCAATAAAATCAGATTGCCTTTTCTCGATACAAACTTTTTATGGAATAAAAGATTTTAATATTCATATGAATATATTGGGGTTACACAAAAACATCCAATAAAGGCTGAAAGGTTGTAATGTGCTCAATTATTTTATCATCGTCTTAAAATAAGCCCAGTCTACTATGTGGCCTGAGCAAGTTAGTGAGTATGCCTTTGAAAAACAACTCAAAACTGGGCCAATATGGATACAAGATGATTGAGTGAAGGAAAGAACAAATACTTAATGATTGTTTGTAGAACATGAAATAAGGTCTCAAGTTCCAAGCCAAGAAATATAAAATTTTTTATAGTCAAACTCATAATAACAGGATTTTATTGTATTTTAGAGGCAGAAGAAACTGATAATTTCTTATGCCAAAGCTAAGTGATACTGTAAGAGATTTATAAGTGGCCAGGTGACAAATAGCTGGTGTTCTTGTTGCATTTCTCTTGCAGTGATAAAAATGCCCTCACTAAAAGCAACAAATGGAAGAAGGA